TATATACCCAACTTAGCAAAAATGTTTGTGTCGAGGGTAAAATATTGGAATAAAATTATTTCTGAATGTTATTATGTGTTATTTCCAGCTATTTATGTCTATAGCCGCTCGCACCACATTCAAACTGAGATCAAGAGAACAGACAATTTTTGAAAGACTTTCTTCTTCTTCAGCCAAGTCCCAACAAGAACCCCCAAGAATAGAGAAAAGTGAGTTACTGTTGCTTATTCAATAATAACAATGGGGCATATTTTCTTGATTTTCTAAGGGAAACATGAGGTTATGTGGTTGAATAGTATTTTTTTGTTCAAATTGAAAGGGCTCTTTTTGGGTTTCCCAGATTTCTAACTGCAAAATATATTTACCTATCTCAGATTTATAAGAAAATCGTTGAACAAACAATAAATATAGTTAAAGTAAAGATAAAAGTATCAGTCAAATCATTGTTTTGGGTTCTGTTTTAATACTAAAGACCCCCCAATAACAAATTTTCTCAAATATCTTTCATGAACAGACAGCGATCAGTTACAATTCAATTATATGTATTGATAACCTACTTCTACGGGAGTCATCATCACTGAAAATACATTAGAAATCTAAGCTGAAACTCTGTACCATTTTGGATTGTAATTGCAAAATAAAATAAGAACAGAATTTGCAATTTTATTTTGTTCTATTCATATACAGAAGGATTGGTGAGGCATGAATTCTTGTGACTTGAAACTTCTAATTCACATGACTGCTGCACGACTCAACCAAGTCACAGGTTGCAATTTGTGAGCAGTTGGATGATGGATTTCCAGAAAAAACATTTATCCAGGAGCTTAGTTATTGAATTATTTATTTATTTCATTTATTCAAGAGTAACTACTAATTAGTATTCAACTTTTTACAAATATCAGATCATTAACACTAATCTAACTTTATTTAATTTAATATGAATTCAATCAGGTACGATCAGGGCCGGACCTAGGATTATTATTAGGGTGGGCAGGGTTTGATCTCCCTCCCAGAGGTGCCCAATCTACCAAAACACCTAGTGCTACGTGATGTTAAGAAAAAAATTGCTTTGTAATTTTAGAATTGAGCAATTTGAAAGGAATATATCTCTATATGCTCTGCTTATACTTTGTTTTGATATACCAGTTATAGAACAAATTTTTGAAAAGAAGTGATCACTAAGAGAATTTGAAGGCAATATATTTGTGAATTTGTACTGATCTTTCTGTATGTAATATTCAAAACTACAATATTCCATAATTGATCTTGCCAATGCTTAGTACTATATCTTTGCAGGTAAAGTCTTTTGTAGTAGGGGAGGTAGGGGAGCATTGGGTACTTTTTTACATAGATGGTAATAAACTGGTGATTGAAACACGTGNCTCCGCCAATGATTATTGATGTAGTCTCATCATCAATTTCTGAGAGAATTCCGCTGAATAAAAGCAGAAATTCACTGTAGTCACCATCAGGTGGTCTGTAAATTGCTATACAAATCATATTTTTATTTAGTAGTTTGATGCCACATACTTCTATAACACCTTCTTTACAATGGCTGTAGTGCTGTGGGAAAGTCATCAAAACAATGCCTGATTCTTTACAGAAATTGAGAACTGGTACTGAAATATGGCTCTTGTGATTATCCAACAGCAAAAGAACTGGTGAAGAAGGCGTTGGTTTTGTGTTTTTTGCTAAATGGTGTATATATTTTATGCAAAATTTGGTGCAGTCATCCACCCTGAAGTATGTGCTGCTCCATCTGACCCAACAGGGGCATCATTTATCATATATGTTTTCAAATTAACCTGTGGGAATATGAAAAAGGGTGGTATTGAGTTTTCCAATGCATTAATTCCGCAGCAAACCGTACCTCTTTCAGGTGACATTACTTGCCCAACTTGCTTAGTGCCTTTGAGAGCAACCACTTTCTGGGTTCGTTGTACTGTTGATAATCCATTTTCATCTGTATTGTAAATAGACTCAGGGCCGAAGCAATACCGTTCATACACACTTTTCAGATTTCCAAAAAAATCTTCGATGTTTTTGTTATTGAAACTTGTAGCCCTTGAGAGACTTGTGGCTTCTGGTGTCCTTATCAAAAGCTGAGGTTGTCTTTAAAAAATCATCTAATCCAATCTTTGGATACCAGTTTTTTCTCTGTCCAGTTATCTGTTTTTTTGCAATAGCATTTGCTTATTCGTAAACTAATTTGTGTGTCTTCAGTTTTGACAGTCCATGGTTTAGTTTAAACGATGTTACAAAATATTCAGAAATTTTTTCTTCTTCATCCTTCGTGAATATTCGAGATGAGATAAATTTAGACAAAATATCTTTCACAGCGCCACTCTGCTTTATGTATGTTTGAAGGTTAGACCTAGGTACCTACTGCAAACAAAGCTTAATACTTTCATTAATTAAATGAATGAAAACACTTTTGTCTAGTGGAAATTAGACAAATGTGTTTTCATTCATTTCATTAAAGTGATCATGAATTTCCACAAAATAAATAAGTCGTCAATTACACAAACCTAATATTTCCATTGCTCTGGTGTTCATACGGAAAGTGAAATTCATTTTTAACACCCACCACAACACTAAGATTTACTACGGATTTAACTCGTTCCAATGGTTCGCCTGCATTGTTGTAATGAGTAGCTATGTGATTGAGAAAAAGACATACTTCTGCATTTAGACACATTAACATCCATGCCATGATTCTGAATATTTTCAAGTCATTTGCAAACAATGGTGATTCTTGGTTTTGATGTCATTAAAGATATTGAATAGGAATGCTCTTACTTTGCACTACCCCTGAGCTGACAGAAATTTCGTGCAGTATAAATCCTATGATATTTACAACTTGGTTCTGTCACATGAATGACTTGTGAGCCAAGTCAATAAGTGGTCATAGAAACCAATTGCTTTCAATTTTGCACAGAAAATCCATTGGTTAACTGTATCAAATGATTTGTGAAAAATTGTATTCATCACATCTACTTGCTGTTGATTCTCCAAAGCATTCAATGCATACTTTTTTTTGAGTCATTGACATCGACTACATTGGTCATTAGCTTCATGTCGTGGGTAGATCCTTCCGAGCCACCTAGGGAATCACACAATCATTCAAATCAATTAGATTGATTTTTGTTGCAGAATACTCTGGATTTTTGGGGGTTAATCATTTGACTAAATAAAAGTGTTTTGCAATTGAAGAAAAAAGTGCAATATTACACCGATTAGAAGGACTTCTACTAATGATCAGTTGGATAAGGCATTGCGAAACAATGTAGAATGTAGCCTAACTTCAAATCCAGGTGATTTCAACGAAGAAGACGACGGGCCGCTAAGCATTTGGGCTAGGGCTATTGATATGCAGCAGTTCCCCATAACAAACGAGGACTTTGAAGAATACGCGTGTGTCGATGATACTGTCGCCGCTTTCTACGTTAGTAACACAGTTTTTTCGTGCATTGCGTGTACATGTATTTGTACATTAGGATATTTAAGAACTATTAAAATAAAGCATATGTGATTCCTATAAAATGTTTTATTCACCTATCGATCAGCAATCCGAACAGCTAAATGAAAGATTAATGAACTAATGTACACTTTACTACCACAAAATTAACCCGTTTTGTGCATCGTCCGGTTAGTACAACATAGTATATCCGGTCCCTTGAAGGTCGTTATATCCGGATTCTACTGTACTTAGGAATATGTGTAGATCTTCTACAGATGTTTCTTTCAGTTACGAAGCAGATGGATTCTTACGGTTTCTAGAATCATATTGTCTATTATTTGTTGAATATATGTGAATCTTTCATAGATGTTTCTTTCAGTGACAAACCAGATGGATTCTTTTTTATTGCTATATTTCTTAAAGAGTTTTCATTTGAGCATGTATATCGGCACTGAATAGACGTGTGTGTAGAGAGCTCTCTATGTAATCATACTACTTGAGTATTTCAAGAGGTATAGACAAGACAAGACAATTTATTTTCCACTGAATGTTACAATACAAGTACCATACATTATGGAAATATTTTTTATTGTTTGTAGTT